TATACATATAAGAGATCCACAAGCACTTGTAAATGGTTATTATGGTTCCCCAAGTCCCCAAACCATATCTTAAGTTCCATGCTGTGCATCCCCTTCTTAAAAAGAAACCATTTTTCCTTTCTCTTGCCTCTTTTTTTACATTTACCATTTTCCACCATCAGATTAGACGCTGTTCTTCTGTAGTTTAAGTCTATCATTGCAGTAAAATTTTTGCATTGGCTGGATACCTGATGAAACAGTATTCTTCATACATCACTCCACTAGTACCAGTTTTGACTACTTTTAACACATGGTAATGACTTACTAAGACATCATGCTTCTGTTTTAGTTCTTAGATATGAATCCTTACTAATTTTGATGCACGTAAGGACCATTCCAAGCATAGACAAACAGGTACAAGGACTGAACCTTGAGCATCACAAGCAATCATGTTTTTCAATTTTTGGCAGGTTAAGGTTTCAAACCTAAGACCCAGAAAGGTAATAAGGGGTAATTTCACATAGAAAGATACAATTACTTGATCAACCAATTAGAGCAAGCCAATGGAACCAATTCAGCAGACAATATGTTCTCAACACACCTACAAGTACAGACATTCGAAGACAGAAATAACCAAAGGAAAAGGAAACATCTAGCCTATGTTTCATTGGCTAAGATACAATTGAGTGGACAAGGAAAAGCAGATTAAGTTACTCAGAACAGTAAGCTTGAGTTGTGATTTAAACAGTACAATATATGCAAGTAAATGACCTTAATACCTCTGAACCACTACATTTTAAAATATTAACAAAAAAATTTACTAAACTAATTTTTAAAAATTATGTTCTTAAAAACAATTAATTAATAAACAGAAAAATTCTAAAAACATTAATTTTAAAAATGTTATTTAAAATTTTTTAAATTAATAGAAAATAGAAAAATCATCTCACATGCCCTGCAACGACAAATAATGACAACCTGGTCCTACCTCTTTTCTGAACAAAGCAGATATCTTAATATGAGAAACAATAATAGTAATGTATTATAATTTAAAGGATGTGCATACCCTTTT